TGGTGGAATAATCTCAAACGTTGGAATTTCTTTTGGATGTTATGTTTACAGTAATGATAATCGTTTGTATTTGCCACAAGTGGTAGTAGGAATTTTTTATTGGGACCAGTAAATGCTGAATTGTTGGCTATCCCAATGGCCTTGGAGCTGACATTCTGGAGAGGCTGGAAGTCAATTTTGGTTCTTATGCAAAATTCGTTATCAAACCAATTTTCCCTTTCCTGGGATTTTGCTTTTGGACAGTGTTTATTTTTTGAAGTAGAACTTTAATATTGCCTCTTGGGTTGTAATAAAAGGGAGAAAATTTTCTTTATACTCTTGACTCTCGCCCTAAAATTTTCCTTGTTCTAGTGTTTGGATTTTTTTTAAATCTCTTTATGACCCTCTAATGGGTGGTTACAGTGCTATTCCATTTCTCGCACGCTCAGATATTGACAGTATCCCATTTTTAATAGAAATAATACAGATGGCTCGAATTCCGATGGGCAATTACTGTGCGATTCCATTTTTCGTATGCTCAGCTCTTGACCATATCCCTTTTTAAAAGATGTAATATAAATGACCCGATTTCTATCTTGTATAGGTTTTCTGTCCCTTCATAGGCTCCTTTTCATCCATTAATAAAATTTCATGACCGCCTCCAAGTAGGTTTGGGGTCTAAGAAAGAAAAAAAATAAAAAGTTCTTTTCAACAAAGTGGAAACCATATCACTTTGCTTCATACCTGATTCCAGAATAAATAATATTCTCCTTGCCTCCATGAGCCCATTTGTACCAGTACAAATAAAATTTATAGGGCTCAATTTGGAAAGAGTATAAATATAAATATGTACAGTGTAAATATATACAAAATATGAGATTTTATATTCTATATATTTGAATTTGTATAGAACAAATGAATACATACAAAATATTTGCATTTGTACACCATAAATAGGGGTGGCAATTTTTCACCTAACCCCTGAACCCACCTAATCCACTCAGTATCTAATCCGCCCAACTCGCCCATTTACTTGGCGGATTGTGTGATCAACCCGTCATCCAATCCGCCCATTTAAATGGGTTGGGTTGTGGATAACCATTGGGTTAACCATTACAAACATTAGTATTAATTCCTTAGCTATTTATTTTTTATTTTCTTCATTTGAATTAAATAATTTATAACTAATCCATTAATTTTTTATTAATTATTGACTAAATTTAGTTTTGTCTTGAATCAATACACTTCACCCAACATAAATCCAAATCAATTTGACCCAAGTATGGACCAGTTCAATGCGGTCTAACTCGATCCAACATATACCCATCCAGGTCGACTTGAATCCGAAATAGACCTCGAACAGGATGGCTCGATACCACTTGCTTTGCCCAGTTTGGATCATCCGGTCCAACCATTATTCACACAACTCGGCTTGACTCAGTACAAGCTTATCCCGGTATCCGAGTTGACCCAAATTCGAAATGGGTCAAACCAAGTGGGGTCTAAACCCTAAACCACCCTAGTTGCTTTGTCCGGTTTGGATCGTTCAGTTTGGTTCATATCTGTTCAACCCGACCCAAATTCGGTCCAGTCCGTTTTACTTCTTTTGACCCGCTTCGAGCTCAGTTCGGTCCCAAACCCATGCACAAACCTGATATGAGCCGACCTAAGTCAATCCACCATTGACTGAACCGGTCCGATCTGGTCCGACTGGATTGAACTAGCCTGATCGAGGTCTGGCCCGACCTAACTGAACCGGTACTAGTCCAATCGGGTTTTGTCCAACCGAACTAAACTGGTTCAAGTAGGGTCTAATCCGACCAGACTGATCCGGATCTAAACGGTTCAACCACTCTTGAACTTGATGTGATTACCTCGAAAACAATCCAATTAGATAGTCCAAGTTGGTCTGACCGGTTTGAACCTATGGTTTGTCAAATCTGAAACCAGAACATAGTTAAATGGCTTTACTGCTTGTATAAAAATAACATAGTTAAATGGCTTTGCTGCTTGTATAAAACCACTTGTGTAAATAACAACTACTATTACCATCAATTTATGACTAATTTATTTATTAAAAAGGAATTAGTTTTTTTATTTTAAGTACATAAATACAAGGGGAGGTATCGGTATTTCACCCAAACCCCAGGAGGTGCAAGTAAATTTATTCTTTTTATTAAAATTTTTTGAATTAGATACCTATACTCGATTAATATCCCCACTTCCAACTTCCTACTTAACCTTCTTTTATTTAAAAATTTCTTGAAAATCTGAAACTATAATCGATTAATATCCCTCACTCCCAACTTCCCACCTCCAGCACCCCTTCTCCCACGTACATGTCCTCTGCAATTCCGGCTGCCGAGTACCAACGAAGTAGCAACCCCCACCCCGCCCCCTAATCCCCAACATTGATTGCTGCATCTCCTTTCCTGCCACCGCACCTTCTCCCACAAACACCACTCTCCCCATCCTCCAAACTGTAGCCTGCAGCTCTGGCCTACAATCAACCACCAACAAAGTGACAGCAAACCTGTGTAAAGTGTAAACTACATGCTGGCCACTGCATCCGTCTCTGCACTTACAATCACAGACCGACAAATAGGCAACACATGGGTGAACAAAGTCCTTGTGCGAGCAACTAAGAGGAAACATGAAACCCCTGTTAAAAGTTTCATATTTTAAAATTAAAAAACATGAAATCAAAAAAAAAATATAGAAAAGGGTTTATTCTCCTATGGATCCACTGAACCCAGAGCCAAACTGGACAAACTCATAGCACATGAAAACAAATAACAGGTATAGTACTTTGAAATCGCCAGGAGTGGAGTGTGGATACGGTTTTCCCTGTCACACACCTATTGAAGACAAGGCCGCCATTGTCACTGTCCTTAAGAAGCTACTACTTTCTCTGATTTGATCCATCTCTTTTCCAATGTTTTAAAATGAAGAGGCATGATGCAAGGCATTCCACTACCTAGAGGCGTGAGACGTAATTTAGGATGCAAGAGGCGTAAGCCTCCCGAACACAAGGAGGAAGAGGAAGGAGGTTAGGAGGATGAAGAAAAAGGGGAGATCTCATTTTTTCTTTATTTTTAATAAAGATATTTTATATTAAGAAGAATAAAGATGCACAACATTAATAAAGATGCACAACATTAGTTGAAAGGGGGGTCTTGTCAAGCAAATTGGATTGCATCGAAAAGGGGGCGGGGTCAGTGCCTCTAGCATACGCCTTGGGGTGTTTTGGGAAGAGACTGGATCTGCTCGCCTCACACGCACATCCTATCAAGCATTGGGAACATCTCCCGTATTTATTAGTTATTATTCACAGGAGATGTTTCCAGTGCACGGTGGATGTGCCTGTGAGGCACCCATTTGTGAGGAGCAGATCCTATCACTTTTGGGAGCACCTTGCCTGGAGGCGTACGCCTCCCACGCCTTTTAAAACACTGCTCTTTTCTTTTGGTTAAAGAAAGGTGCCTCATCAGGCATGCATGCACTCTTTGCTTCTATTGTCTGGGTTTCACTCTTCAATCGTTCTGTTTTCTGCTTTTATTGTTAAGGTTTCTCTTCAATTGCTATATGTTCTGGAAGTAATGGAGAGCATAGTCAAGTCCCAAGAGAAGGGGATTCTGTAGTCCTAGGCTTCTTGTTGCGATAATGTTGCCAATCCAAACACATTGCAGGCAAGGCTGCTGAAGGTGTGTTCGGATCTCCTACCCACAAGACACTACAGCTGCACATTGAGAACATCTTCCTTATTCTTATTTGCATGCTACCATTCATGGGGAGATGTTCTCAATGTGCAGCTGTAGTGTCTCGTAGGTAGGTGTGGGTAGGAGATCCGAATACCCCTTCTCAGTAGCTTACTATGCAGATGAACCTGCCCTAAAGGTTAGAGAAAGGTTCTGGTTCTAATCTATAGATTCTCTGTTCACCAAGAGAAAACATATTCAATGGAAAAACCGAGGAGAAAAACCTATATGCTTTTTTTCGTTTTTATGTTTTCTAATTTCAAAATCAGCCCTTAACAGGAATTTAATGTATCTGTTTAGTTGCTCATAGAAGTCCTTGGCTTACCAGTGTTTTGCTGATGTGTTGGGCTACAATTGGAAAGTACATACCTGTGTAAATATGGAATCCTCTCCATCCCTTCTCCCTGCTAATCCTTGCCACCATCCTCTTCACCCTGCAAAACTCCCTCCAATCCTCTCAATTTCCTGCTTGTAATGCCAGCTGCCAACCCCCCAGTCAACACCAGATACCAAGTTGACAGTTACGAAACCTGTCTTTTTTAAATCAGAATCGAACTAAACTTCAACATCTGGTATTCTTTGCATTTTTAACAAAATTTCCTCAAATCCTAAAAGTTCCAATGGCTGCAAATTCACAGAAACCAGTAACTTTAATAATGTGGACAATAGACCCAAAGAAAACAAAACGAAATAGCAATTATCTCAAGTCATCAAGTTGGAAAACTTACGATTTAGCTAGTATATGTTAATGAAATTCACTGTCTTCCAGAACAGGAGTAACACCTCATTAGCAGGATTTGGCAAATGAGAACTAGTGATAATAAACAGCCTAAGCTTCCCTGGAAAACAGCCTCAGTTTCTACTTCGGTTGCAGATTAACCCCTGGGCTTGCGGGCCCGAAACAAAATCTTCTCTTACAGTCCTTTGTCCAAGGCATCAACTAGGCTATTTGGAATCCACTTTATTTGGAAACTAAAATCTTTGACACTCTAATTATTGTCAAAGAATCCAAGGTCCTGAGACCTTGAAGGAGAGAGAAACTCTACTCTTAGGGAGATTCCAATTCTAAACTCCACATTGCCAACAAGTTCAGAATTTTAAGGAGTCAACAATTTCGTTTCTTGCAGTTGTAAGCTTTAGGTAAGATTTTCTTCAAGGATTTGAATTTGGAAGAGTAAATAGCATATAGGAGGCATCACCTGCAATAAATTTCTGCCAGGGGGTTGCCATTGGAAATTAATTGTCATTGAAACCGTTAAAATATGTATGAAAGGCCATACAAAAGCATGTAGGTTTCTTATTATAGAATGAAGTGGATCTGAATATTCTTATGCCTCCATAACCTCTAGAACTAACCTATGATCTTCCTTGTATGGAGGTGGATGTATATTTGAGTCCTGATTGAAATCATATTCCAACAAGTAAGCTTGTTAATTACTTCAGTTACAAATGAATGTTGTCTAGCCTCAACAGGCTTCATATATACGCTATTCACCTGTTGATTCTCTTCATGCCAATTACAAAATAAGCCCAAAACCTAAAATTCCCTTACCTTGTGAAACCAGAAGTAATCAATCCTCTTCCAATAAGAACATTTGATTCATTGTTAGCATTAAGCCAGCCTATTGAGCTTTCTCCAAAAAAACACAGCCTATATCATCCTGAAAGAGATAGAATGAGCTCGTCAGTACAAACCACACCTCAACATCTCCATCTCTTTCTATGAAAAGAAAGAAGAATGGAAGACACAATAATCCCTTATAGTGTGTCCTTTTGCACCAATATGCAACCACTGGAACCTATGTATACTTAAATCAAAGAAAAAATATTGTCTTTTAGGAAACATGACAAAAATAAGGTATCTTCTTTGTATAGACAACCAAGAACAATGAGTTGCAAGTTTTCAGGGCTATCATCAAAACCTTGAAGCCTCAATGGCACCAGTCAGAAACAGATATACTCATTTCACATGTAAGGAAACAATAAACATTAAAAGGCCATTACCCAATGTTAGTCCCAGCCATCTCGGTTTTTGGGACAGGTGGATTGGATATGGACCTAACCTTTGGCATTTTTTTTTTTGTTTTCAAACAATGATTGCTCTCAGACTCAGATCCACATTCTCACATTTGTCGGCCCGAGATCTTACTGTTAGTCCATTATACCAAGCAGTGGCCCTGGCAAGCAGGAAACACTACACTCCAAAATCTACTGTCTTACAAAAGCAAAGGAAAACAAAAATAACTCCAGGTTGCAGTAGTATGCACTACTGTTACTGAATACACAGTGGGCAGAGAAAAGAACTACTCTTCTTTAGTTCTCTTGAAAAAATTAAAAAAAAAAAAAAACTATTTTTAATTATTATTTTATTTTTGCAGTTGCAGTTGTTAGGCCCAGGGAGACTAAAAGTCTAACTATAGGCGGCAATATTCTTCTTGGCAAACAAAGAGAAAACTTTTTCATGAATAATGATAATAAACACCAAGAAGAAAGATTGTTAAATCTGATAAAACCATATGCTCAATCATGTCTCTCTCTAATGAGGGAGACTCTTTATGTAATATTAAAATTATCCAAAATTATAAGAAACCCCCAATAGTTCAGATATTACACTAAAGTCCCTGACCATAATTTTCCCTCCTAAAATAATCCCCATTCCCCATACAAACTGAACACTCCTATGCTCTCCCTCAAAATATCTCTGCCTAGAAGCAAAATGTAATCTTGTTAGCAATATTTGCTTCTCCCCAGTCTCAAACAAGGCAACTCGGAGATTCCAGCATTGCAACAATTAGCTCTTACACTAAACTCACAGGGATCCAATCAGCTTGATTGCACTCATGCTAAACTTTCAGTTTATATCCATGGCAAGTCCTCAATTGATTAGATGGTGCTCATGGTCACTCACAGTTCTTACCTAAGAAACAACCTAAAAGTACTCATGGAAACCTATAGCTCTTACCCAAAACACAACCAATCATCAAATTTGCTTCTGCAAATTTTCTGAAAATAACAGCATATGGTCAACCTAACTAAGACTCAACCACAATATTTATTATTATTATTATTATTATTGAAAACTGGTAAAGTATTGAAATTATATTGAACACCAAAAAGAACCTGTGTACAATAAGAGACAATACATTGAAATATACAGAAGATACATAATCAAAAGATAGAACTGTATATCTTGCACACCCAAAATAAGACTGCCTTTGTAATCAGCCCCAAAAAACATACATCAAACTTTGATGATCATGCAACCAAAAACAAAGTAAAATTCAACCCCAAGGATCGGTTTCCAAAAAGCTAATTCCAACCCCAGACAAATGCTATAAGATATCAAGCTTACAAGAACAAGTAGAAACTGAAGAAATAGTAGGAGCTTGTTCTAGAGGCCATAGAACTCCCCAAAATTAAAATTGCCTATTGTATTATAATCCATGAAGATTAAGAATACCTAAGCACCACAATAGATTCTACCCAATAATGCTGAACAAGAAATCTCTTTGGTTTAAGGTCTGATGTAGCACAACAAATAACTTTGAAGAGAGAGATCTAGGAATCACTCCTAGAAGGTTTAGGCCAAACCCAAACACAGGAAGCATCACACATCCACATAAAGAAACAAATTTAATTTTTATTCACTCCGTTTTCAGAAACAACCAATACACCTATATTTATAACATAAAATAGAAATTGATTATCCTAACTAGAAATCCTAGTCTGTCTTACTTAGCATAGGAGTACTAACTGAAAGCAGAAAACAATGATTCCTAACAACTATATAACTAAAAGAACCTTGCTGTAACCTGTAAGACACTCCTACTGTAAAACACTCTCCTAACACACTTCTAACACTACTGTTTCTTAAACTTCAAAACACAAAGAATTTATTCTACCTCCCAGCCAGAATCTTCTCCATTATTGTGCCAAATAAGAACCAAAGCCTCAGAATTGTTGGGAATTTTTCTTTTTCTTCTGTAAGTCTTGAAATTTGCTGCATGATCCCTATCAAGGTGCCAACTGGATCAGTTGATAAGGTCTCTGGCTGGTTGTGGCAAAGACTTGGGAATGATTCCCACTTTCACCCGGATTGGGGGTTATTGGTATGGGGGATGGGTCCCCCCATTGTCTAGCTCCATGAAGCCAAAAAGAAAAATTCTCTTTGGTTCTAGTTGATTTTTGGGGAAATCTTCAAGAATCCTTTGTCGAGCACTGACCTTCAATTGTTTCTCCAAAAATCATCTAAAATCAGACATTTCAAGAATGAATAATACCTCCACCAGTTATTAGCCAACAGATTAGGAACTACCCCTCAAAGCATTGCAAAGGACCCAAAACAAGTTGGTACTAAAACTGTAAAACAGAGACAGAGAAGAGGTAGGTGCTTGCTCCTTGGTTTACCAAAACTTATTATTACTTTCTACCTTTGTAGGAAATTGTAGGTGGTCAAACAATACATGAGTGCCACCTAGAAAATAGCCCCCAGTGAACAAGATACCTTCTTGGTTTTTCAGCAAATTCTCTAAGATACCTTCCTAGGCATAAAAAATTTCTGGAGAACTCAATAATTATCTAAAACTCAGGAAATTTAAGAATAACAAATAATTACTATTTGTGAAAATTTGAGAGAAAAATGAATTGATTGTATTGTCTTGGAAGGAGCATATACACAACTTTATATAGAATTACAGAGCTAATTTAYWVGGTGATAAAATAGGAAACTAACTTTTCCTAAAAAAAACTAATTTCTATATCAGTGGGATTCTCCAATTAATATCCCATGAGTCTAGGAAATTAAGTTTCCTAAA